CCTGCCTTCACCCTGAGTCAGCTGGGATAGACTCCAGCCCCCACGACCCTAGTGAGGATTAGGCAGTGTATAGATGATGGATTTAGAACCTATTCTGTTGCAGACCCCTTCATGGCATCAGTGTTCCCTGATGGAAGTGGCCTGATGATGTTCTCTGTCAGGCTACAGAAATATTCAGGAATGGTTTCAGGAACATGAAGAGTTTGATGTGTTAACTTGGCCTCTACAGTCTCCAGATTTCAATCAAATGAAGCATCTGTGGGATGTTTCAGACCCATGGAGGAACCACCTCACAACTTTCAGGACTTCAAGGATCTGCTGTTCATATCTTGGTGCCTCATACCACAGGACACCTTCAGAGATGTAAAGGCCACACCTCGATGGCTCAGAGCTGTTTTGGCGACACGAGGGGAGCTATCCAGTATTAGGCAAGTGATTTGAATGTTGTGACTTATCAGTGTATGACTTCATGGTGTATAACAGCTTTTATAGGCAGTGTTTGACTACAAGTATTTTTCAGTGACAAAAAGCTATTAACAACATATGTAATATATATATTTTTTGCGCTGACTTCATGCAAAATACACACAATATTTGTTCAAATGGTTCCAGTTTATTGGCGTCCACTGAATCACTTTCATTACAGAAAACCGCTGCCCCTACTGGTAGAGTCTTGGTAGTACAGTATGATTCCACAGAGAGAAGCGCATACCACACAGCAAGTAGGTAAGAAAATATCTAAATAATATCTACAGTGAAGCACATCTGGGTTAAAATGTTGCTGAAATCCTTCCCGGTATACAGCAGCTGTGATCAACACTTATTTAACGTAAAGCTGAATCAAATGATGCATCAGAATTTGACATCCAAGGCTACAGAAAGCAGATTTAACATTGGGGTCCAAACCAGAACACGTCTCGTGGCCTCAGTAGTGACACTAATGAATACATCCAACACCTTTTTGGTTTGACAAACAAAGCTGAAGCTGTTTGTTTTTACCTGCCGTTTCAGATACTTTGTGGTTGCTGACAGACGTTTACCGAGAAGGATTCGCAGCAGCATTTCTCACCAGAGCCTGTTGCATCAGCAGGTACGTTACAGCTGCTAGAATCTTCTTTTTCCTTGAGAGAACGCTCGTCCCTCCAGCAGCAGGAGCCGCCGTGTGCTTCTGAAAGCTTCGACAAAACGAGTGGTTTGTCTGAGTAAACATCGCTGACCTTTTTATCGTAAAACTTCTCCATAAATGTTTTGTTTTTTTTCCTTTCTGAATACACACACACACACACATCAGACATGAGTTAAACGGATGATGCGTGTTGTTCTGGCTTTTAATGTTGAAACTAAAATACTACTTTGGGGACTCGCTTACTCTTCCTGAATGCAAAATCTAAATCATTAGGCCTGAGATGTGATTCATCACCTATTTTAAAACACACATACATAAAAGGGGACTGCAGAAACGAATCCATTATATATTTAATCACTGGACATCTAGACACAAGCAGGACTGAGCAATATGTAGCAACTAATGGTCAGTTTAATCATTGTGGGAATTCAATGCTGTTAATAATTAAGCATAGTTTGGTTGTCTTGGTAATTGGTTTCCACATTGCTCAACCCTGCAGACACTAAAACATTACCACCTTTAATACTTTCCCACCATTACCTTCCCTCTTTAAGAAGATACTTTCTTTTAGACAGTTTCTCTTAAAGAAAACTTTGAAATGCTTTTATCTAACTTCAAGGATTTGCTCGGCCAAACTCAAACCTCAAATTAACAGAAGAGGCCTATTTCAAGCGTCTGTCCAAATTCAAGCATGAAAGCAGTTGCACACAGTCCCACGCTTCGGATTTTTCGTCTACAAATGCGAAAAATGCTTAAAAATGGAAACACGGAAAACAAGAATGTGTCTCGACTTCAAAAAAATCATTCTGTTTAATCAGACTCTACGAAGTGTCAGTGAGATGAGTGTGTAACAGCTGTCGAAACAACCAAAAAAAAAAAACCATGTACGCTAAACCCAGTTCTCTAAGTACACACACACACACACACACATACACACACACACACACACACATCAAAACCACCTGTCTGACTAAGGGTCAATAAAAAGCCACCAACTGAAAGCCAAATAATAAAACTAATGAATGGTACGTCCTCTTCACAGTGTAGTCACGACCTATAGGAATTTAGAGAGCCCTTCTTTGCTCACTAAATCAAAAAAAATATGCTCTGATTGACACGTCCTGACAAACAACATTCATGTCTACACATTGCTTCTTCAACCCGCCCCTCCCCCTGAAAACTGCTGACATTTCCAGCATTTAAAACAAAACTACTATTTTTTTTTAAAAATCAGGAAAGAAACTTGTTCCAAGCTGGTGAAGTGGAATCCTCGATGATCAAGCCAGTGTGGGAAAATAAATCCAGGCTGACGGAGTCTCTGTTCTCCTCTGCAGAGCGTTTTGATTTGACCAAACCTTCCATTGGACCTGCAGGTTTGCTAGCAGGTGGGCCGGCTGCTCTTCTGCGAGAGGTCTGACCACATGTGTCCACAGCTCGAAGAACTTCTGTGAGTCAAACATGGGGCTGAGTTTTGCTGGGGAGGGGCACGGGGGTGTTAGTTTGTCCGGGCAAATGTCTCTCAGTCAGTGGAGAAGAGGTCTCCGGCTGAAGGCAGCGGCGCCAGACCTCCAGTCACGTTGGGCAGCAGGGAAAGGTCGGGGAGACTCTGGATGTGGGACTTGAGCTCTTTCCTCACCTGGGTCACCCTCGCTAGTTTCTGCTTGTATTCCTGCAAAGGGAAGGACGACAAGAATGAGCTGAATATTAAACAAGTTACTCTGGAAACAGGAATGCTGAGGAAATACCAGCAGTCAGACAGAAAACAAGAAAGATTATCTCGGAAATGTGGGATTATGGGATTAATTCTGACTCTAATCATTTCCTTGTTTGTGTTTCTTGCCTTTTCAGACTTCTCTGTGGTGATGTTGGCATATTTCCAAACATCAGCATGTAAGCTGTACTGAATATGCAATCTGAAAGAACTGTCAAAATTAGTGTAGATACACCTGTAATATAATAAATAGAATACCGCTCATTAATGACTGGCAAAGACAAAACTTCACCACTGAGATTTTTGTCTCGCTGCTGACTGCCTGTGTTTCCATAATGTATTTTTTAGTCAGAGTTTGTTGTATATATATTCTTGCAAAAGTTAATGGCAAGAATTGTGTTGTGTTCAATGACGAGGATCTCAATTTCAGCAGTCACATCGAAGCCGTAACTAAATCCTAATTCTGGCATCTGCAAAACACAAACTGAGGAACTTTGTGTCCAAGGAAGATTTTAAAAAACTCATTCATGCTTTTAGTACTTATAGAGTGGACTACTGTAATACACTCCTGGTCTCCCCAGTAAGAACACTATTGAATACTTTGTTTTTTACATGCTTTTATTGTTGCTTCTTTTTTATTTTTAGCAGTTTTATTCAATCAGTTTAAATTCTTCTATAAATATGTACGCACTTTATCCGACTTATCTGTACGCTTTCTATGCTCCCAATGAGTTAATGCACTTTGTGGGAGATAAAAACACCTTTTGTGAATAGGTTTTGACTGAGCAGGCATTTAACTCACATAGACCAATCAGCTGTTTCCACCTCTTTCACCTTCCTCTCCTCGAGACAGCGTGAAACAAGGATAACACGAAATATTTATATCTTGACCAATCGAATACAACCAGTTGCCGTAAACGCTCAAGGCAACTGGTTAAGTTTGTTTCTTATTTTTCTTCAAGACTTTTGGTGGTTGATTTTATTTCCAGTCTGCAAACTCTACTTTTATTTCTGCCATGAGCTGTAGCCTCCACCACCACATTCTGACGACACCATGCAGCCTCGTTTATTCACTACAAAGCACTGAATGGAAACAAGCCTCATTTGCAATATTTCTGAACCTTTACATGTAAACACAGGTACTGTTGTGTTTGTGTAGGCTGTGCCTTACCTCTAGTTTCTTCTCTCGCTCCATTAGTGCCTCCTTCTGGCTGGTGATGTACTCAGTCAGCATGCGGGCCAGCTGCCTGCGGTCCTCCAGCTCTGCAGCCAGTCGCCCGTTGTACTCCGCCAGCAGTAAACAGGCTTCATCCACCGTTTTTGACAGCTTGTCTGCTGCTTCTTTGTCTAAATTGAAGCCAAAGTGGATTGTTGAGGTCACAGAATATTGTTTCCAGAATGTATGACTGTACAAGGCAGCACTTTCCCTGAACTCAACTGCTTGTTGTGTAATATGTGGTATATTTGTCCCATATTTCAACATGTATACTGTTGACAGTCTCTAGAACACTGACCTGAACAAGATGCACATTTTAACAACATGTACTATACATAGGTACAAACAGGGAACCATGGTTCTGACTGCAGAAACTGTTTTACAATAACACTCAATTTTAACAATTGTTCACATTACATTTCCAACAATATGTCCATTGTTTTTTTCCACTTCTTATTTTATTTGGATTTCCATTGTGTGCTTTTGCTCTTTATTGTTTTTCCTTCCGCTGAATCATCCCTTTGTTAGTGACAAAACTGTTGAAGGATTTTTTTCTAACAAAAATCAGAAGCATGTTGCCGTAACAAGGAAGAAATACAACAAAGCACATCCATGCTCGTGGGATATCTGCATACAATATACCAGGAGCAATAAATTGAGCTGCCAGGTCCTACCAGTGATCTTCTCTAACAGGGAAACATCCTGAACTTCTTGCGGCAACGAAGCAATCTTCTGGCGAACAGCTGCATCGCCTGATGCGGCGTTTTCTAAGTCCTGCAGGGCTTTAACCAGCTCCTCTGTCTGGAAAAACAAAGAAGTAAATAGGGTTAACGATGACCAGAGTAAGAGAAAACAGAATGAAGGGGAGGAGAGAGGTAAGGGTAGAAAGAAGAAAGATGGCACGGCAAGGAGAAAAAACCACAACCAAACATTATAACACTGACTTGACTACATATTGGCGTCCTTACTAGCTGAGTTGCAGAGGAGTCTGCGCTGTGAGGAGAAGCATGGCTTCTATAGTCGTCGTCCTCATCGTCTTCGTCTTCCTGGATTTTCTGATAGGTTCGTTTCACAGCTTTCTTCTCTTCTGCAGAGTCCAGTGTAGACACCAGAGACCAAGAAAATGCCATATTCAACATTACTAAACGACGTAATTCACCTTAAATATTAAACTCTGGACTAAATGAACGCTTAACAAACTGGATTCTTCACAGTAACAACAGGTTATGACTCCTTTTAATTCCATGTGAGTTAACTTGTTTGTCATTTTTGAAAAAGGAATTGTAAAAATGTCTAATTTTGTCAGAGTTAAATAATAATTCACCAGCCATCATTCAGCTATTTTCAAATGAAGTAATCAACATTTTAGTTCCACCGTCAGTAAAATGTAAAAAGTTTAGATTCTCAAAGTGTCCTTCAATATGGAAACTAACACAATTTGTAGGATTTTTACACTATGAAGTGTAAAACTAGTCTTGTACACGAATGTACAGTCCAGATAAAGAAAAAAATACAATAAAATTAACATACAAATACAAGGGGTTGGTGGGTCGATACCTAAAATATTGATATACTGACGTTACAACAAACTAACACATTTATTTCTCATTCTTCTTTGCACTTATGTGTGCTGCAATCAGAGAATTCACACTATTAGCTTTTGTAACTACCTTTAAAAATAGTTTTGTTGTGCATGAGATTAAGTAATCAACAGTGTAAAACTGTAAAGAGATGCTTCATGTTTGGTAAATTGTTCAGAGTTGATTAAAATATATTTGAGAAGTAGCGTGGTTTTAATGTCTGTGACCATGGAGCTGATTTTAAAACCTAATTTTGTGGTATCGCCCACCCTCAACAAATATAATGCACATGTTACTGTGTGTGTATATATATATTTATGTCCACGTGTAACTATATAATTATGCGATGGGATTCTAACCTGAAGGTCTGGGGCTGTTCGAGTCTTCTATGGCCAGTTTGAGCTGCTGAATGAAGTCGCTCCTGTAAAGGCTCCTCTCCTTCCAGATGTTGAGGAGTCTCTCCATGTGCTTTTTACAGTTCTCGTCTGCTTCACTGCAGGGTGACGGAGGAACAGCAGAGTTCATCAGAGGACAAGAGCAAATAATGACCAGCTCAGAAAATAAAACAGTTAAAGAAGAACCTCCGAAAAACCTGTGGATCGTGAAAGAACATACTGCAGTGTTGTAAGTAGGTGTTAGAGCTGTAACTGATTTCAGTTCAGTTTTTTTTTTTGGTTGTGCTGCTGTAAAAAAAACGCTGAGATTAATCAGAATCTAAATTTTATTTTAAAGTGAAATATGCCTTTAAAATATTACCCCCATTAGTCAAATGTTTTTGCAGAAAACAAGATTGAAAAGAAAAAGACTCTAACTCCAGCTCTAAGAGTTTCTGTGCAGAACTGTGTAGATTTACAGCTATTCAAATGTTTGGGACCCCCTAGTAAAAACCACATATTTGGTTGACATCCATCCATCATCTATACACCGCTTAATCCTCACTAGGATCATGGGGGGCTGGAGTCTATCCCAGCTGACTCAGGGTGAAGGCAGGAGACACCCTGGACAGGTCACCAGTCTATCACAGGGCTACACTTAGAGACAGACAACCAAGCACACTCACATTCACACCTACGGACAATTTAGAATCACCAGTCAACCTCAACATGTTTCTGGACTGTGTGGGAGGAAGCCGGAGAACCCAGAGAGAACCCACGCTGCACGTGGTGAACATGCAAACTTCACGCAGAAAGATCTGTGAACCGGCAACCTTCTTGCTACGAGGCAATGGTGCTAACCACCGAGCACCTTGCAGCCTTACTTGGTTGATATCTGAAGTAAAAATATAACCATACAAATATCGGTTCCTTTTAATTTCATCAACTTAAAATGTAATAAATCATGTAGCTTTTGGGCAAACTTCTTGTAGCGTCTCAGAACTCCATTGGCTCATTAAGCCTTAATTGATTTGTCATGAACTGTTGTTTGGATTCTACAGTTTACGAGACATTTTCTGACCCTTCAGACTAAACAACTATGAGATCCTCTTAGTAAGGATCTGACAATGAAGCTAACTGATGCCTACAAGAGGGGAGGATATAAAACGATTTCAAAGTGATTCCATCAGCAACTTCAACAGCCTGAAATGTCTTTATGAAATGGCAGCTAAGGGAAGCTGCGAAAGTCGAGACAAGATATCGAAAAAGACCAAAAACCACATCTACAGGCACGAATGCGATGCAAAGAAGTAAAAACAGCAGAGAAGCTGCAGGGCAGTTTAGTCGACACGGGAGTGTTGATGCACGATCAAAGTCAATATCGCAGAGTTATTAGCAGAAATCCTAACCTGCAATCTCATTAGAAAAGTCAGCGTCTGAAGTTTACAAAGCATCATCTGAATAAGCTACAGCTGTTAGGAACGAGTGCAGCGGACTGATGAAGTAAAATCTGTATGTTGGAGTATGGTTGGAGAGAAAAGCATTGGATGAACAGAAGACCGTTCCAACTGCTCAGCCAGGAGGTGGAAAACACTGTGCTTTGGAGTCATGTGGCATATATAGGCAAAGGAAGCACTGAGCAGATAAAGACTGGATTCCACTGAAAATCAGCTCAGTCCCAACGCAGATGTCGAGCATCAATTAACGGAGAGAAACGGAAAAAAAGGCCGGCTGTCACGAAAGAACAATGATCCGAAGCAGACCTCAAAATCCACCACAAACTGCTTCAAGAAACACCAGCTGCAGCTTTTAGAACGACCCTCACAGTCCCCTGACCTGAGCATTATTAGAAACCTGCTTTGTGTGCACAACAGCCTAAAAATATCCCTGAACTTGAAGTGATCTGCTGGAAGAGTGCGTGGAATCAAAAATAGACGGACTCTGAGCCACATAAAGTGTTTGAAAGCTTTGATAGCAGCCACAGGGGGGGTACTAAGTACTGACTCAGTGGGGGGAATTGGATAAACGGAAATCCTGTGTAGTAATGTGTTTTTATTGACGTATTTCCACTTCACACACACAAACCATAATATGTGGCTGTTTGATATATAGATAGAAAACTATACCTGGCAACATGGGAGCAGGCATCGACCAGCACAGACTCAAAGTCTTTGGTGAACTCCGGTCCTTTCTTCTTGCTGTTCTGGATGACATCGTTAGCCAGATACAGGAACGTCAGCTTCCTGGTGCTTTTAGCTGGAAGACACATTAAAAAAACAAACATTTCATATATGTGTTTTCTGAACCTACTCCATGATTAATTGCCCCCCTGTAACAGATATGTCCGGTAGCAGAATGAAAGGAGGAACATTTACATTTCATTTTGATGATAGGGGTAATTTTTTTTCTCGATATTCTGCTACTGTGGTCTGACTCATCATCAAGTGGTTTTACTCTGCTGGATGTCAGAACAAACAGTGAATCAAAAAATAAGATCTAGTCCTGTTATTCTGAAGGGCTGACGTAAAAACCTGACACTGGCTTCTAATTAAGACTGCAACTAACAGTTATTTCTATTATCAAATAATCTGTTGATAATTATCTTGAATAATCAATTAGTTGTTTGTTTTATAAAATATCATAAAGTCTTTTTAAAAATTGCTTGTTTCCCAAAGCACAAGATGACACGTTTTGTTTTATCCACATCCCAAAGATATTCAGTTTACTATCACAGTGGAGGAAAGAAATAAAACAAAAATCACTTTTGAAAAGCTGCAATCAGAGAATTTTAATTTTTTCTTTTTAAAAAAAATACTCAAACTGTTTGATTATCACAGTTACCGCTGATCAACTTAACAGCTGAGTGGTGAATAATGACATTAATAGCTGCAGCAGCAGCTCTGCTTCTTCATTGAAGAATCTCACTACAGAAACTTAAGGTCAAATGTGGTCTGTGTTCTTCAGGAATTGAAAAAAATAAACTACCAACCAACATTTAACAAAAAAAAAAAAAAGCACATCCGAGTTGTGTTTCATGGTGCATTATTCCTTTAGTAGTGTCAGTAATACTGAGGGTTTTTTTGCATCCTCCTTTTGTTAACCTCTTCAGACCTGATCTCTTGTTTGATCTGCAATTTTTATTATTTCATTTATTTCACTATTTGATCAAACAGCAAAGAGGAATAAAAAATAAAAATAAATATATATATAGAGAAGATAAAAAATATATTTAAAAATATACACATATAAAACACATTTTAAAAAAGGAAAAATAACAACAATAATAAAAATAATAATAATAAAATAATATATATTTTTTAAATTAACTACTGTGGTAATATAACCCAAAATGTGATGTCCATGCATGTGGACGTCAGGTCTTAAGAGGCTAAATGTATTTTCTTGAGGAAAAAAATAAATAAAACTAACAGGATTACTATATAGGCTTACAAAACATTCTTAATCAAACATCCATGTGAGACAAAATTAGAGATTTTAATGATATAATCTAGCCTCTTCATTTTTAAAGATTTTTTTTAGTGATTTCTCTCACATGTATAGGATACATGTTCTTCTACCAGCATGTTGCATGTTACTTTGCACTGTGTTTTCCTCATTTTTCCTACATATAACATTTGTGAGCTCCTGGATACCCTGAATTTATCCAAGGGCACGAATAAGGTATCTATCTATCTATCTATCTATCTATCTATCTATCTATCTATCTATCTATCTATCTACATTGTGGAGTTTAGCACATTGAGAGCTCAACAAGAACAGCCTGTTTGATCATATTTAGGTCTAAAAACAGCATTTTCAATCACACAAAGTGTCTTCAGTCTATTACAGCCGACTGAGTCAACCTGCAGCTGTCCTGTCCACTATGACAGGAGGCTCTGACAGTGTGACATGTCCCTGTGTTCATTGCACTGGATCTACAACATGCTCTCCCATGCTGTGTGTTTCTTGCAGCAGCAGTCAGCTCTCACCTTTTTTCAGCTCTCGGTGCCACACTTTGACGATGAGGCCCGAGTGTTTGCGGTGGTGGATGATCCACAGAGACAGGGTCTGGACGCTCTGCTGCGAGCTGCTCAGCTCCGACAGCTTCTTCTCCAGGGCGGGCTCAGAGAACGACGACATGCCGGTGTGCGAGTGCGCGCTTCCCCGGTGACCGGACTGACTCCGACCCGCTCTAAAGCCAATGAGCTCCGAGCTATTTTGGAGAAACTCGCACTGTCATCAAAACTGAAGTTGAGTCGTTAAGTTGCAGACAAGCAGCAGCAAGCAGCCTCCCGCAGCCCGCTCCGCCAAACGTCAGGTTTCTAACGCTGTGTTAGCGCTTCACTAAAGGAACTATTGACCCAATGTGCTGAACAAACCTTCAGAGTGTGAGCTGCTTTACCTGCGGCTGTTTCCTCACTGTGTGTAGTGTTTGTTTACAGCACCAGCTAACGTTAGCCAGCCGAGCTAAGCAGCCATCTGCAGAGCCGTGCAGCCCCGCGCTAGTCTGCGCCCTAACCCGAGTTTAAATTAAACCAGCTGCTCTAATATTCGTGCCGAAAACCTCTCAGCAAGCCAGCATATGAAACAAAACTATGAAAGACTCACGGCAAAACTCACACTTGGGCTTTGGTCGCCTAACTCATCAAAAAGATTGCCTCGAAAAAATGGCAGCTTGCACTTTCACCTCGACATGTGCGTCGCACAAAAGTGACGTAAGCAGAGTCGAGCATCGCCCGCTTTATCCAGAGATGAGCACATGAAAGCTCCTCTGTCAGTTAATAGAGACTACATTCTATTAAATCACCACTGTGTGTACATATGCATGGTATAAAATGACCCCTATTTGTACATCTACATTTTGCAAGACTAAACCTCCATGTACATATACATTTTTAAAGCCAAACCATGTATACACACACAGTCGTCCTGAAATGTATTCACACCCTTCCATTAAAGACAAGACAAATGTCCCAACAGTCACTCAAATAACTAGAAACTGAACGAAGTAATAATAAATAAAAATTTGCTAAATTATAATTTCATGAAATAAGACACTGCTTTTGAATTGTGGTTGAAAAGAATAATTAAAAAAAACAACGATGAGCTGATGAGCAGTGGGCCAAAGTCAAAAACCCTGTCAGCAGGTGCAGAAGTCTGACTGAGAGTTACAGAAAACACTTGATTGCAGTGATTGTCTCAAAGAGTTGTTCAACTAAATATTAGTTTACAGGTCCCATCATGCTTGTTTGAGTGTTTGGTTTTGTTTTGGGTTTTTTTGTTAGTTTTTTTAATGTTTCTGTTAAACCACTATTCAAAAGCAATGTCATGATTGTCTTTTTTTTATTTATTTTTCTTAATGATTATTACTTTTGTCAGTTTCAACTTATTTCATTGACAGCTGTTTTTTTCCCTTCTTTAATGGGAGGATATGAATAAATCTGAGGATGACTGTATATATTTTATTTTTAAAACCCTGTATTGTAAATATTCATTAAAAAAAACTGGGCTCATATTTTGCTATTATTGCTAAATAATATGCATTTTTAAATATTTAATTTAAATATCAATTACCTGCTTCATTTTACGTATATGATGTTTATTTACACAAAAATGCACCTTGTAGCTGGCTTTTTTTCGAGTTATTGTTGGATCAAAAAATACGGATTATATAAGGATTCAATCAAAGGACAGAAGGAGGAAAAATGCCAAAAACAATCACTAGATCAACAGGAATTTTATAAAGGAGCCTCCTGAAGTTGCAGAGCAGATTATTGAACCAAACAAACATAACGACTGTGCAAATATAGTTTAGGATTCTGAGCCATTTGATGTGCTTAGCGTAAAATCCAGAATATAATTTCTTACAGTTTACGCTGTGACATGTGATTACAGGGAAAGCACAGGCATAAATAAAAACAATATCTCATTCAGTCAAAGCTTTGTATTGAAATCACCTGAAAAAGCATCATCAGATCTTGTCAATAGCAACTGCAAAACTGGATGGCCAAATGAACACGCTTGAGGATAAAAATCATAAGGTTATGGGAAGTTGTTGAAATAGAATAAGTCTACTAATCCTAACCTGCAGGCCACAGTGAGATCTGAAAAACTCCAAATGCAAAAGCTACTTATACTGTAAAGAGTAAATAACATTTCAATGTTGGTGTTTAAAATTTATCAGCCCCAACTTTAGTAAAGCTGATGTTCTGAAATGAAACACAACAAATTCAGAATCTATTTTCGTCCTTTTTCATCATTTTGATGGTCTCTTCGGCAAATGTAACATGCTGGGCAACCTTCAAAAAATGGTGCTGGTTGAATTTTTATAACAGATACAGCTTTGTCTGGTAGGAACCTCCAGGATGAAAGGATTAACCATGGCTGCATTACACTTAGATGTCTGAGGGTCTTTGTGTCATACATGCTGAGTCACACTGGTATGACTAAATGAAACAGTAAAACAGCACGGAACTGCTATTCATTTTAATATTTACATCTATAAAAAAAAGTCTTCTGCACAATAAACCCCTTCTGAGACTTTTTTTTTTTTTTAGACTGATCTGACAGGCGTGAACAACAGATGACTTGTTGCACAGTTAAAGGAAACACAAAACTGTCTAATACATCTACACATGGTCTGTATGAGACTATCTGTGGTCAAAAAAAAAGAAAAAAAGAACAGATTTCTTTTTATATCATTTAAAAGCTGCTGCATCAAATTTACCGTTTCAGCTACAAACCTGTTATTGACAAGAAAACCTGCTTGGCTCATATGGAGCTATTAGCAAACACTTCTGTTAAAAAAAAAACTTGCACTGTACAAACAATTTCACTCAAATTTCTGTGTTTGAACAGACAAACCAATTTACATGTCCATTTGCCTCCACAAGACTGTGGTTGTCAAAATGCACAATATTCCTGTCAAAGCGTTGGGTTTGGGATCAGGACGCAGGTGAGCATCAGGCAAATTGTTTGTCAGTGCTACAGGTGTGTTTAACAAAATGAGGCTCAAATATCAACCAAAATGCAAATTCAGACACACCTGTACAGACCTTTTACAAAATAATAATACGGTTTAACTTGTTAAAGCGGAAAAACACAGGTAGCACTAACTAATGAAGGTTTTACTTCTTCTTCCAGTCAGATGAATCAAAGAGCCAGAAACAGAACTTAATATGAGACACTGACAACAATAATAACGACATGATGCAGCAGATTATTACTGTATTACTATTACTGCGCAATACGTAATCAAACATGTAGCGTCTGTTCAAACATTATGTTACTATAATTATGTTTAACAAATCTAAAGTTCACACTCAGAGCAGCATTTAGGGGTTTGGCATTAATTCACAGGAGTGAAAACCACAGATACTTCAACAGACAATTTTGTTTGTCAAAGTAGTTTTTCTTATGGATTAAATGACTGCAGTGCATCAAGACATACTTTCTGCTTTCTGCTACTTTCATTACAAGTTAGTGCTTCCCTGTTTGCATGTTAAATTTTATTTTGCAAATGTCCGCGTGACCAACCTAAAAACAAATAATTCTTTGAGGAATTTAACTCAAATGTATCACGAAAGATATAAAAAGTGACATCTGGCTGTTTCTGTTAAGCTTTTAATGGTCTGTTGTTTGCTAACGAAACTTTGCGTTCTTTTTGTTTCGTCACAAAATTACTTTAAAGTCATCTTTTTTCACCCCCTGAGAGATCTCTTGAAAGGTTTTACAGCATTTCTGTTTTAGGTATTGCATTGGACTTATTTGTGCAGAGACTTTCTTTCTCAAGATTTGATGCTTTCAACCTTCTTGCACCTCAACATTGCATCATGAGAAGTGCTCCTAAAAAGAAAAAACTAAACTGTCAAAAAAAAAAGACAGGATCATAGCCGCCTTACACGTGTATCTAGTTAAGGAGTAAATGAAGATATTTGAATTCTCAAGTGTCATCCAGGGCTGTAAGGTGGAGCGGTGGTTAGCACTGTTGTAAGAAGGTCTTCCTCCCACACAGTCCAAAAACATGTTGAGGTTAACTGGTGATTCTAAATTGTCTGTAGGTGTGAATGTGAGTGTGCTTGGTTGTCTGTCTCTAAGTGTAGCCCTGTGATAGACTGGCGACCTGTCCAGGGTGTCCCCTGCCTTCACCCTGAGTCAGCTGGGATAGACTCCAGCCCCCCATGACCCTAGTGAGGATTAAGTGGTGTATAGATAATGGATGGATGGATGGAAGTTTCATCCAGATACACAAAAACTATTAAGAGGGCTGTTTTAAATATCTGTTAAAACTGACTGAAATTAGACAAAATGTTTTACTCAGATTATATATATTTTTTTTAACATCCTGAATGAACTGAGACAAAAGTTTTATGACTAATAGCTCTGCACTGAATAACAAACTGTTGGTGTTTTCTCTGGTTTAAAGTTACATGAAAAAGTAATTTAAAAGAACCAGTCTGCCTTTTCATGGCTTATTACACTTATACAACTAATTTTAATGGGAGGGAAACTCTACAGTCACACAAACAAATCCAATATGCAAAGAGGCATCACTCAACAAGCATTCCCCAGAAACATGCAAAACCCAACCCTCTGTCAGTCCACACTTTGAAAAACATCCCTGATCTGTTTCTACAAGCCACACTGAGCTTCTCTGAGCTGGAGGTGAAGTATGGACATGCTTGGTTCTGTGTTTCTGGCCTTAAGCGGCCTGATGCTGCAGTTAGTCGATGGGGAGCTAGATTACACCTCCCAGGGACAGGGGATGCAGCTTCAGGGTGACTTCTCCATCGCTGGATTCTTTCCTCTCCACTATATCGATCAGCAAAGTACTCATTTGCCTGCTTTGCTTCCAACCAATGAGTGAGTTTAAACTTCCAACCTCAGTAATCAAATGCATATAATTTTTCTTTTGTTTGTCATAATGCCTTTTTTGCATGTTATCAGAGGTGAAGCCAACAAACATGGATTTCACATGATGCAAGCCATGAGGTTTGCCGTGGAGGAAATCAACAACGCCAGCGGACCGCAGTCTCTTTTACCAGGAGTGAAGCTTGGCTACCAGATCTACGACGTCTCCTCGAAGTCGTACGGTATCCTGGCAGCTCTGGACCTGTTGGAGCAGCAGTCCCAGAATCCTTCTGTGTCCAGCTCAGAGGGAGAAACAAGCACAAACTCCAGCAAAGCTCAAAGAACATTGGCTGTTATTGGGCCAGACAGCAGCAGCAAAACGTTCACCCCTGCTTCTTTGCTGGGGGCCTATCTTGTACCACAGGTAAGTTTTGAAAGATAAATGTATAAATAAAGAGCAGAATCTTTCCTGACATTCTCATTTGTCATTATAGATCTCCTATGAAGCATCAAATGAAATGCTGAGCAACAAGTTCCTCTATCCATCCTTCTTCCGCACAATCCCCAGCGACAAGAACCAGGTGAAAGCCATGCTCCAGATCCTGGCTCGCTTTAACTGGACTTGGATCGCTCTCCTGGGCAGCGACAACGCCTATGGACTGGAGGGGATGCAGACTCTAGCCAAGCATGCATCAGAGTACGGCATCTGCATCGCCTACCAAGGAGTCATCCCCGCCTACAGAGCTGAAACAGTCCAGGTCATGAGGAACGTGGTGGAGAACCTCCTGACAATCAAAGTCAATGTCATTGTGGTGTTCTCCAGCAAGACCAAACTCAACAAGTTCATGCCATTCGTCCTGGAGCGGAACATCACGGACAAGGTGTGGATCGGGACGGAGGACTGGTCAGCATCTTCTCTCATATCTGGAATACCTGGGATCCAAACCATCGGCACCGTGATTGGCGTGTCCGTCAAGTATGTGGCCTTTTCTGGTTTTGAGGAGTTCGAGCGAAGGGCGTTTGAAGCTTCTATGCAGCACAGCCAGGAAGACTCTGGGCGTCCCACGAATGAAGGCAACATCTGTCTGCAGAGCACAGACCTGTACAGCCTCGCCAGAAGGAATTTCTCTCTGGAGAAATACGACATCACCTCTTCCTTTAACGTGTACACGGCGGTCTATGCTGTGGCTCACGCGCTGCACCAAACACTTGGTTGTGACTCTGGAGAATGCAGCAAGAGACACGTGCATCCGTGGGAGGTAAGATGATGGAAAATTGTGTTTCATTTTTCAAACAATGACTATTTTGTCACTGATATTTCCCTTTTCCTCTCTGTCTCAGCTTCTGTATTGGCTGAAGCAGGTGCGGTTCTCTCTGAAGAACACCTCTGTGTACTTTGATGTGAACGGTGACCCACCAACGGGGTACGATATTATTTCCTGGGTTTGGAGGGGGAACGACTGGTCCATCAGGATCGTCGGCTCCTTTGCACCGGATCCCATTTCGCTCACGGTGGACGCTGATCAGATCGAGTGGTTCAGCAGAGGAGACTCAAGAAAAGTAAGAACAGGATGGTGTATTTTTGAGTACAGCATGAGTGATATTTAAGTTTTTCTGTTTTATTTTGTTTGTGGATATAAAAAATATAAAATCATGAGCATCATTTGAATAAAAAGATAAAAAGTATAATGAAGAAAAATCTAAAATTGTAATAGAAAATGTTAGTATGACACCTGCAGTAGACAGTTTTTAATATTACAATGTGGTCGTACTGATAATCATAACTGCTGCAATCTAATTTTAAAAAGCAAAGACAACAACAATCTTGATGCTTGGTGAGTAAAAAGTGAATTTGTGAAGATTGCTTTCCATTGCTTTGCTCCATGTCAATGGAATTAATACAAAGAACGATAAAATGTGAACCTTCCACCCTGTTGGATCAATGGAAACCTATATTTAAGTGGGTTTTTAAAATACTGTTCATGTTTGCTTTGTGCTTCTGTCTGTGTTTAGTTGTGTGTCTTATAGCGATTCTTTTTTCTTCTGCTGTACTCTGGTCTTTCCTGCAAGTGAGATCTTGATCCTGTGGTGAATTACTTATCTGACTACCACGCTTTCTTCTATGCATATATCATCTGTACAGTTTATTATTCTGGGTTTCACTCTCCTAAATAATTGCCATCATATTTTAACTTTTGTACATATCAGCACATCTCTTAAATATATACTTAAACAAATACAGAATTTATTTAAGATAAGATAACACAAGGTTAAACTAGACAAGATGAATCTGAATTTTTTTCATCCAGATGACTTTTTTGCCAGATATTGCTAAAAACACACACACACACAAAATGACATAAGAATTCAGTGCCTAAAAAGTAGAAAAGCAAAAGACATTATTACATCACATTACTAAAAAAAAAAGTACAATAAGTAAGCTAAAGTAAAGAGTAAAAAGTGAATGTTGGCAATGATACTGAGCTCATAAGTAATATCACACATGATCATGAAATCTTACACATGATACTGAAACTGGTCAATCTCACAGACCTTTAGGTTATTCACAATATTTTACCCTCTTCTCTTTCAAACCCTGCTGGTTGTGTGTAGGTGCCGCAGTCCATCTGCTCTGCTCCCTGCCCGAGAGGCCACAAGAAGCTGCTGACAGGGCAAAACACATGCTGCTTCGACTGCCAGGCCTGTCCTGCTGCCACGTTCCTCAATAAAAGTGGTAAATAGAAAAAAACCAAGTCAGAGCAGAGAGTTTCTCAGATCCAGTGTTTGGTCCTTGAAGAACAATGAGAGTGACTAATGAATCTGCATGTATTATAAATGTCATAATCCCACCTCTTTCTTATCTCATAGCAAAGATAGGACACTGTACAGACTTTGTAAAAGATTTAGCAGTTTACTGTAAAACCCTGTTGCATGTCTCGGCTCACGGCATCATCAGTGGTGCTGATGAGTAGATGCATGTGTGAAGCATGTGATGGTGGCTTCTGGAAAGTGTTTAAGCATCCATCCATCCATCCATCCATCCATCCATC